TAAAATGCATTTCCCTGAGTCACTGTTCCTGCTTGACGGTAAACCCTGAGTCATTTTTTCTCAATCACATCTCCAGAACTTTTCGTAAGGCATCGCATATATCCGAAAAGACATTACCATTATCAGGGTCGTGTCACATTGACCCACCTAGACTAAACTGTGACGTCTATAACACTGGAGCAGATAATAAGTCTACCAATCATCCTTGCAGATATCAGGAAGAACAGTTGACACTCTCTAAGCTGTACTTGGTGTTCTAATAATAGCTGAACTCTGTCAGGTCTGACTGACATTAGAGAACAGTGAATAAACCTAATGACCATTATAATCTAAATAACTACAGAAATTCCACCACACTTGTTTTTTTGTTGTTGTTTTGATGCATCTGCATAATCACACATGCCAGTTTGTGGAGAATGTCTGCCTTTCTTTTCTCAGGTAAGTTCTTAAGGTATCTCAGCAGGTCAGTATATCTGTAAATGAAAATATATCAATTAACCCTTTGTTGGCTCTCCAATCAGAGAGTTCCCTCACTCTGACTTCCTCCCTCTTCAACTTGAACACAATGAGGACTTTTTTTCTGTCTGAGTCACAGTCACTTAGAACACACTGCTGATCTACTCGACTCTCCCTCACCTGCAATCAAATTTCTGTCCTGTTGGCCGCACGCTACATCCATTATGATGCGGTATAATTGGCTGCCATTGGTTCTGTATGGTCCCCGTCCAAGACGATATTAAACCTTTCACTGCCAAGCGAGTCATTCTTTATTCACATCCCAATAAGTAGTAATAAGATTGGCCCGCTAAGGTGCTGTATCCAATAAGTTATAATCCAATTGGCTGTCAGGATTATGTATTCATACTTAAATACGTTGTGATAAGATCAGGGTGCTGCTGGTTCTATATCCAATAAAAAGTAATACAATTGGCTGCCAGAAGTTGTGGATTCAATATGGTCTAATGTGATTGGTTCTTATGGATTCTTTATCCAATAAGGTGAGGTATGACTGTCTTCCAGTGACTTTGAGCGACTTAGTTGGACAGATTCAGTCCAACAGAGCTTGGCACTGCTGTGACTGCAGACAAAAGGCGAGCTGGAGAGCTTTCCAGCAGGTATTTCCCAGTCTGCCTCTTCTTTGTGCCAGCAGCAGCAGTTTAGGAGTCTTAGCCCACATCCGTGTGCAGGCCCCGCCAGAATCTCTCTCTGTGTTTTCTCTGCATTGCGGCCAAGTTCTGAATCTCCTGTGAGCTTTGTTCGCTGTGAGAGAAGCTTCCAGAGTGGATTTTGTATTGTTGTGTGTACGCTTGTGTACAAAAAACTACTGTAGAAAAAATTAATGGTCCAGCTGGGGGAACACAAAAGGAATAGTAAAACATTTCTTTTCATGAACCATGCAGGCTGCAACAACCTGGGGGGGGCGGGGGGAGTTTCTGGCACATCTTTACCTACTTTCAAGTTGTTTGGAGAAGGAAACAGTTTAAAAGGGGCAAAATTCCAGCAACACTTGTAGTATAAAGAAAAACTTTATTATCAGACGAAAATGTTTCCCCATGTTGTCTCCATCAGGGTGATTCATGAGTCAAACCAACTACGTTCATGCCTCTTAAATAAATGTGTTTCTGTTAAGTGCTGGGAGATAAAGGAGGGGTTCCACTTCTGAATGTAGACACATATTCAAAGCAGCAACAAATTAAAGACATGTTATGCAACTTTCAGAGCCGATGTTCAAGCCAAAACAATGCACTCTTCAGACACACCTCCTTCATCCCTCAGTACCCCACCCACCCGCCCCTCCCGTCCTGATTCACCCACAAGTGTCTGTGAGACAGAGAGAGCAGTAGACGATGCTAAAATATGTCTGAAAACAAGATTCTGCCATTAATTTCTTGCCACAGAACTTCGCTATTGTACCCCTGCACACAGTGTTTGAGCCTCAGTGAAACATTAACAAACTGAAGGAAGCAATGTTCTGTCAGCGTGAACACAGAGCTCAGAACAACAATCCCAGAGGGAGTTTGACTTCCCTCTCTTTTTAGGAAGTCATTACTCCACATCCATATCAGATATTTGTTATATTAACCTCAGTTCTACTTTCAATTCTTCGAGACATCTTTGTCAGTCCTTTTTGATTTCACTGCAACCAAATAATGAGACATAATGTGAGTGGAATAAAAAGTCTTTAAAGGGCTTTCAAATTTCACCGCCGCAAATAAACTCCTCATATGATAAAAAAAAAAAGCACAACTGCCATATTGCATTTAGGTGCAAAGAATATGAATTTAGTCGATATGTTTTGAAATCCAAAGTGCATTAGATCATCCCTTGAGCCATCCGTTATGATATGAGCTCTTAATCATGCAAGCGCTGACCCTGCAGGCCACATTCTGTCAGCCAGCACAGACAGGGAACTATTGTTGTTCATTTCTAAGCATAAATCCTGCACAGCGCTGTGAACCGCGAGAGAAAGACACCAGGCGTCAGAATCCTTTGTGAGCGGAGTGTGAACGGTTGGACATGTGGGCGGATGAACAACACCAGCTGTCTCCGATAACAAACAGGACGCATCAGCTGCTACCAGCAACTAAACATCCACTCAGTGTAAAAAAACATCTAAAGACTGAGGTAACTTTAAGCAGCTCTCAGGAGTTCACAGTCCAGGATGTGTTTGCTAAATGATAGCAGAGCCAAAGCCTTTTGATCAGTTTGCAGAGGAACACACAGGAAGGTCACATCATGAAAAAAACATGCTAAGCTTTTAATCATCAACATGCATGTTTTCAGATCACATACTTTTATACCGCGGCCTTTATACCGCATGCAGAATCTTGTCTTTTATACCATGTAGCAGAATACCTTCCTCTTCCCTCACGCAAGAATCTCAGCCCTTAACTTCAGACAGGATCTCTACTGATTACATAACTCACAAACCCTGACTTTGACTGAACACAGGATCCTTGTCTTTCACCTGATGCAGGATTTTAGACTTAAATCTGACTCATGATCATGACCTTTAACTTCACCCAGGATCCTATTCTTTGTTTACCTTGCGCAACATTGTGGCCTTCAACCTATAGAACAGGGATCTTTGACTTTGTGCAGAGTTGCTCAGCCAGTAACCTCGTGCAGAATCTTTGTTTTCATTCTATGCAGGATCTTTGCCTTTAACTAAACATTGGATGTCTTTTACGTCAAACAGGATCTTGGCCCCCTAACCCCGATGCAGTACCTTAACTTTTAACCTCAAGCAGAATCCTGGCCTTTAACTTCAAATGTTACTGAACTTCGACAATACAAAGACTGTTTTTATAAGGTTGTTAGAAGTAGTTATGATTAGTGTGGACAGTGAAGGTAAATGTATGATGATCCTTTGTGCGAGTGCAGACTAAATCCATACCACCCCTGCACAAGTCAGGGCCCTAGCTAGAGTCATCCTATGGTGCATGCTACTTAGAAGACTAAATTAGAATTCATGAGGATGAAATGTCAAGTGGATCAATGCTAATGCTAATTCTACTGCATACATTTACAACAATTATGGCAAGATTATATTAATCACCTTCATCTCATCATCACAAAGATGTCATTAATTCGGACATTGGGCCAAAACATATCCGCTTTAAAGGTCACATATGATGTAAAACACACTTCACCATGTTTCTCTAACACTAATTTGTGTCCCTAGTCCGTCTACAAAACCCCCAATGATGAGAGAAGTCCATCCTCTCTTGCCTGCTCCACTTTTCAGAAAATGTGTGCTCAAACAGGCCGTTTGGAGATTTTCCCTTCATGACATCACAAAGGGCAGTAGCCCCTCCCCCAGGTGGGTGACACTCCCACAGCTAGGTGTTTGTTCTGCCCTCTGAGTCTGCCTTCTCACCGTAAACAATAGGGCATGGAACGAGAAAAGCCTGATCCACCCGAAGCCTTCCAGAGAGGGGGCGTGGTCAGACACAGCTCATTTACATTTAAAGGTACAGACACAGAAACAGCCCGTTCTGAGCAGGGCTGAAATAAAGGGTTTTATAGACATGATCAAATACAGGATCAGGGTGGATTCAGAACAAGAAACTTTGCACACATGTTTTGGGGAGTTCTGAGACTTATTTAAACTGGTTTAAGAGGAGGAGAATATGTTACCTTTAAAAAGCATTTCAAGAAGGTCACATAAGATTTTCAAAAATGACAACAACCAGACATCTTTAAAGCTTCATTTCCGCTAAACGCCCCACCAGGATAAAAGATACTAAAACAACACAACACTGAGTCAACTAAAACACCAGGGGGAGAAAATTACACAAAATATGCTTAGCTGGTTCCTCTGGATCTCGCCATGCTAAATTACTCTCTCACTTAACCGAGCCAACCGTCACATAAATCCAAATTACCCTGAGTCTTTGTTTAAAAATAAATGAATACAGTCTGTTCACTGAGCCCAAATTGTTCCTACAGTCATTACGCATGCTTGCTGACAAGCTGTCACATTTGAACAATGCACATTTCTCATTCTTAGAGGAATCAAATTGTAGAAACCTGGAGTGTTTTTCTTTCATGTAATCATCATTATGTTCGTTTTTTAAAACAGAGTTTACCAAGAGTCAAACAAACCAACGACATGCTCAGAGCCTGAGGACTGAGGTCTGGAAGAAAGACTTCCTCTTTATCTCCTGCTGTCTTTCTTTTACATCGAGCTCTGAATGTAAACCTCTCCCACCTATCTCTCTTGTTTCTTCACCCAGCACACCTTGAGAGTACTCTTCCATCGCGTCTTCTCCTTCTCTGTCTCCGATGGGAACCTCTTTCATAGAGAGCAGTGATAAGCAGATGGCTGGGGAGGTGCTTGTCAGGGCTGATGTAGCAGAAAAAAGCCTGTTTGAAGCACAGCTTTCTTTTTTGCAGGAGCGTGGAAACACTGTTAACCTCTTTATGCTCTTACTCTTTATCTTCCCACCTTACTCAAAATCAGTTTGAAACACGCAGCGCCTTTTGTTTTCACTTACCAAGCATGGTGAGGGTGGTCGTCCCCTGTTCGTTCCCAGAGGGGTAGGTGGCGTATTCGCAGGTGTAACGGCCGGCATCAGCCATTCTCAGTTTAGAAATCCTAATGGACGGGTTCTCCAGACTGTTTTGAAGGAAGACAACTCGATCCCTGAACGACAAGTTGGGAAAACTCTGACCGTAGATGGGGTGGTAAACGGCGATGTTGTCCCGCTGACCATCGATTGGTTCCCATATCCAAGACACCTGGACAGAGCAGAGGCAGTAAAAAGTAGTGTTTAGTGTTAAAGGAAGAATACCTACCCCGATGAAATAGAACTACAAGTTGACTGTAGTCATGACGACCGGGCCAAACCGACCTGACAGACGAGCTAATGTATCCGAGAATAATTTACATGACGTTTTTATCACAGCAGCATATACAGCAACAGAATGGCAGCTCTCAGTAGCAGCTCACACTTCTTTATGCAGCAGACTTTGACGTAAAATCCGGGGGTTTCCATGCCAACGATAAACATGTTGTGTCTGTCTTGACGGCAGCCACGACAAGACACATCCCTTTACGACTGTAAAATTACCAGATTTCTCTGGTTTTGATAACTGTTGGAGATATTTGAGGTAATTAAGAACTCAACAAAAAATATATAACATGGGTTTAGTCAGTTTTTATTGAATTTAGAGATTTGAGTGTAAAAATTCTGCATATTGCACCTTTGATAAACTGAGTCTCACTTACAGAAACACATGGTAACGTTAGCATTTTAATTTACAAATACTAAGTATGTAAATCAGCACTCTTCCACCCCTCCTGTAACCTCAAATACTTTCACTCATCTCCAGAGAATAAGACAGAGTAATCTTTGCAAGATTGAATTAAAAGTCTCTCAGATTAAAAAAAAAAACTATTTTCGGAAGCAGGTTCACATGTTAGAGAAACAGAGTTTGACAGAAAGGCTCGTGCGTCATCAGATTTGTGATTTGTGAAAGATATTGATTTCTTTTTATGGCGGTATGAGTCTCTACCACGAGGGAGAATACTGCGATGTTATACCAAATTGATTTCCTTTTTCCTTTTCCTTTCTCAAAGTGACAGTGTTAAGTACACACTGCAGCAAGGAGAGGGGGGAAAAAAAAGTTCATCAATACACATTTAGCAAACATCTATTAGGTTTATGACAGGCCAGAGAGGAGAGGGGGGGAGAGACAGCGGGGAGGGCTGAAGGTTGAGAAGAGGAAGACCGGTTGGAACCCAGACGTCAAAACAAATTAGCGGATGAGACTCGCTCGTTAAGACGGGGACTGTGGAGGAAATATGACCACTTGCAATTAAGTCCGTCAGCAATTTCAGGTTTTATTTTTGTACAAGGACAAATTGCTTATTGATTCCATCCTTAGCTCTGAAGGGAGACAGATCAAACCAGGATCAAATTAAAAACCAGCCAGCAGCTCAGCGCAATTAGCTTTAGCCTGCTTGATGTTTTCTAAAACATCCTAACAGTTCAGGTGCTGTCAGGTTAAGTTTTCACCTGAGGTTTCGTACAGAAACTGACTTCCAAATATTCAGTAGGTTTTTGTTTTTTGTGTGCTCACACCTCTCCTGTAGGTCAGATTGAGTTCAGTTAGCTCTGCGTTTGTTAGAGGGCACCTTGTGATAGCCATCCCCGGGTCCAGTTCCATTCTTGCGCCAAGCTAAGCCAAACCGGCGAGGGGCTAAGATATGACAATGACACTGATTTAATTCTCTTTTTGTAGTTTTAGGAGGTCAGGTTATTCCTCTGGTTATGGTCTAACCTCTGGAAGGCTAAAAGGGTCAGTTAGCTTCAAACATAGCTCCAGATTGTTGGATGTGTCGTTGTCAGCTACGGAGCCACTGTGCAGAGTTCATGAAGAATGTAGGATGTGGCTTTATGCAGACGGATGTGACTTCAATATAACATCTAAAATATAAACTCTTTTAATGTAAGGATCCACACTTAAACACACACGTATCACAATGATCATCCTAAACTACGGGCCTGATTCATGGATTTTTGTGTGCCGAGTCACTGACAGCCCCTGACTGGCTATATTTTTAAAAGCTTTGTCAAATTCATATTACAGACTTAACATACTGATACTTTATTTTGAAGGTCATATAGAGGATGAATTGTTTTCCTGATCACTGTAAAGTTTGCATGTGACATTTCTTAGAAGCACTGCGGCACAGTTACCACATAGGTCTCTGCAGACGCTGGATTTGTGAATTAGACACTTGTTTTGGAATGAGGCTGATTTGTGAAGAAAGGAGACGGTTTTTCCACAAGTGACTGCGTGATGTAAGATAAACGCGCGACCAGCACCAGATCAGACACGGAGCGAGTAGGATGTGGGTACAAGACCGGATCCAAAGGCAGAAAATATACGGGGAATATCATACATTTGGAAAAGAGCGTTGGTGACGTCAACAGCCCCTTTCTGAAAAGTTGAAAGATTTTCAACTTGAGCGCGCAGAGCGGCCACATAAAAATAGGCAGAGCACTTGGAAAGAAAAGACGCTGGGCGCTGCGCTTTTCTCCAGTCTTCCGCTCTTTACTCACTTGAAACAACTGAAAAAAAAGGCTGGCGCTCAGAAAAAAACACTAGCTGGACACCGGCCGTAGGAAGCTTCTGTTTTCACATCGGACGTCTCTCTCTCTCTCTCTCTCTCTGGAGATATACCTGGGCAGCCCGCCCATGTATCGTTTATGTGAGGGAAACACTGAACAGACTCCTGGGAATTGTAGTTCTCAGGTTGACAATGACAGTGTGGCATTAAAGTGTGTTTGAGCAGAAACTGTTGCAAACTCTTTTTTACACATAGTCTCCTGAAAACTTTCAGGACTAGCTGAGGTCATTCTTTCGACAAAAACGTTGCAGTGATTTTTCTTTGTTGGAAAGTCCATGTTCTGTCTGCTCTCTGAAAGTGTCGAGGCAAGGCACAGATTTATTTTTCCCATCCAAATAAAGCCATCATCTCTTTATGTTTCTGCCAATAAAACTACCCAGTTTTCTTGAACTGCCGAGTCGATTCAACCTCGAGGTTGAGCCGGAATAAAAGCAAGAAAAAAAACCTCAAAGCTGTGTTTGGTCCTCCTACCTGTGTGAGTTTGGTTTTGCCTAATCCATCGATGAATTGGCAGCGGAGATCGACGGACTCCGTGGGATACGCCTCCAGCTCCTCCTCCACTCGCACTTTCTGAGCCCCGATACCTGGAGGCGGCGAAAAGCAGACAAAGAAGAGGATTATGAATCATCCACAAAACCAATAGTGTTTGAATAATTGAACATGTTTGTGCTGAAAACTCGAGTAAACAGAGACTTAGATGGAGAACAATCAGAGAGAGAGAGAGAGAGAGAGAGAGAGAGCAGTATGGTTACACCTTGCTATTAGAAGTATTTCATTATGACATTTTATGAAATTGCTGTGATTGATGTTTGATGTTTGAAATCCCCCCTCCTCTTTAGTGTTTGTCGACCCCCCTGATGTGTCCTAGATAACTAAAAACAAGTCACAGAGAAGCACTAAAGACGGACAACGAGAGGAAATTAATCAAAACTATGTAGAGAGAGGAAAGTGAGACAGGTTCATTGAAGGACTAGAAACAAATGGAATCATAAGCCTTTGATAACAAGCCTCAGGCAGAGTCTTAGCCGGCTTCCTTCAGCGAGGCCCTCCTCATTATCGTAAAGCCCGACTACCACGAGGCATCGCTAGGGGGCGAGCCTTGAGGAACACCACAACCGCTTCTTTCACAGCAGCAGAATCAGACTGTTATTCCCCATTTGAGCATGAAACACCACGTTCAGAGAGCATGAAGAGTCAGGAAGGCCGACAAAGGTTCACTGAAAACAAGCCGAGGGAGCTGCTGCAACAATTCAAACTAAAGCGGAGATGAAAGGAGGAACAGTTCCAGACTGTCTGAACGCCGTGCAGCTCCTGCCGACCTGCAGGCTGTTTCAGAACAGCATGTTCAAATTGGACATGTGGAACATCGCTCTTTATGTTGCTTCTTCTGTGATCGACTGACTCAACCGTGTGCAGCCTCTCTACCGCTGGTCAAGTGTTGCAACACTTCTTTTGAAGCTCTACTTTCTCTTTTTACCTTTTTTTTTTTTTTTTTTGTGAAGAAGAAAATGTCACAGCGCGGCTGTGATACCCCATTTTATTTCCGCACAAGAGTCAGTGTTGGTACCAATTCTGTCATTTCTCTGCGTTCAAATGCACTCAACGGTAGAGCAACACTTCCACTGAATGTCTGATGGATGAATAGGACTGGCGTAGCACAAAGTGCATTTGAGGCTTTGAGCAGACGCTGTGGCTTTTGCTGTTTCTGAGAGCTGCAGGAAACTCAGAAAGAAAATATTCTGCTAAACATTGGGAATACAAAAGCATACCTTCAGATGCATATCAACCTTAATCTATAACTCTATAGAGAACATTATAGAGCATTATAGAGAGAACAACGAGTGAACTACAAGTATACAGACAGTGACTATAATGAACTATAATATATTATAATAACTAGGTTTTAATGGGCTTACACTCAGGGACAAGTCACACACAGTGACTAACACAAGCTAACACAAACGGCAGGCTCAGGCTGGATCTCTGTTACGACGTGCTTCAGTGAAGCAAAAGTTGGTCATAACAAACTTAAACAAACTCAGGATGGACCATTTGCCTTTACCACTTTGTGTGATGTGTGCAGGTCACCGATCTGTGGATCGATACATTGGGGGTTTGTGGTAAAATTAAAACGTCCCGATTTCGAGGTTTGAAAATATGGTCACCCTATCCTCTGCATTCACTCCACACAACAGGATATCTGATGATGAGAAAGTTTAATATTCAAGATTTGAAATCGCTGCAGCCGCCAAAATCCAAACAGACCTGATAACTCGACACACCACAGGAAAATTGGACAAGATGCCCCCTAAAAACCATCTTAAAAATGGTGAGGGGACACAGGCCCAAAACTGGTTCTACATCATCTTCAGCGTGTACTCCACTTGACGAGATCTTGGTCCTGGAACATTTCCCTCCTGCCTGTTAGCTGTAAATTGCTTCGTCCGAATTTCGACAAATACGATCATCACTATGATCATCTGTCTCATCATGTTTAACCTTCTCTTTACAGGACGTGATGAATACATGAATGTGTTAGCAGGTTTTGGGAAAAAGAAACAACCAGATAGTAACAAGAAGCTGGAGGTGCTGATTTCAGCCGTGTCCTGTTATGAACCATCTTGTTTTTTTAAAAGCACTTTCACAGCTTTCATGAATCGTCCTGCCTTTTGGCAAAACCTCTTTATGTGGGATATTATTCAGCGAGCAGCCTTTCAACCACGGAGAACATTTCTGCAAATCTGCTTTGTTAAAAAAAAAAAAAAGCATATAAATATATAAAGCCAACATTTGCAGTATCACATTTCTCAACATTAATGAACTGTAATGAACTTGTAATCCTAGTAATCATGAGACAGATAAGCAGAGACTTAAAGAGCGAGCAAGAAAAACAAAAGAGGAAGGATCAGGGAGCAAAAACGAGAACTTGTAATCCTTCGTTAAGCGGTCGAGTCCGAGTCCAGCAGCGCCGCGTGTTCGGCTGCTTCATATCAGGCTTGGTGTGAAGTTGTTTTTAAAGAGACTTTGATTATCAGAGCCGTACAATCAAGTCATCCGGCCACAATGGGGACTAATCATCAACCCTCTTGATGCTCACTTTAGTAACTCCAATATATAATAACACTTGATTTTCTCTCCCTCTCTCCACTTGCGCTGCTCTTTTCACTTCTCTCTCTCTGACATCCATGCAGTATTCAAACCCCCGCCATGAACCCCCTGCTGACCCAGGATCAAATCCTACCGCGCTCTTTTCTCCTCCACCCCCCCTCGCCGGCTGCCCTCTCAGCCAGCCTCTGTGCCTGCAAAGATAAAATTCTTGGGGGGAGCCGAACTCTCGCTCTCTCCGGAAGAAAAAGGGGATAAGCACTCGCCAACCGCCAGCTAGCCCCGGGTGGTTCCAGTGCAAAAGCCTCTTAGTGTGTGAGGGATTGATTAGGACAATATGTTACATGCTGCAGCATAGAGGTGAATGGGCCGGCTGGGGTTTTAGCCGGCAAATCAGCTGTAAAACACAGACACACAGAAAGCATGTGTGTGTATATGTGTGCAGAGGGGTATTTTGGATTTTCAGCAAGCATGCTTTCACATGTGCAATGTTGGATGGTATGTGCAAAGGCATATGTATGCTTAACACTGTGTGTGTGTGTGTTGTGTGTGTGTGTGTGTGTGTGTGTGTGCATAAATCAAATCATTTCGTAACATGAGTGCACAAAAGACTGACTTAGTCATTGAACCACAGTCTCTACCCTGAGGGAGACAATGGGCTGTCAAACCAGTTATCCATTTCCACTGTAAGACAGGAGCGCACCACACACACACACACACACACACACACACACACACACACACACACACACACACACACACACACACACACACACACACACACACACACACACACACGCAGAACTCATGAATGCAAACTACTGGCTGTCAGAGGAGTTCTGCCGTAGCCGACATGAACAAGAAAAGCAGAGGCCAACTCAAAGTCTTCTTCTCCGTCTCTGTAATTTTCTTCGACTGTACTTCCATCACCGTCTTCTTCTGCTCAAACTCGCAGTTTAATTTCCCCCCAATTAAACACATCCACACTCAGCTGCCACTACTCGTAAAGGGCTGAAGTGCAAAAACACACAGCAGCAAAAGAATGAATCAAAAGCAATTCAATGACATCTCTTGAACGATGCAGGAGAAAAAAGTTAAATTGAGACAGAAAACATGAGGAAGAGGGGATGATGGAGAGAAGAAAAGTGTGAAAGGAGTACAGACAGAAAATAACATGTAGAGAAAAGAATAAATGCAATATAATAGAAGAGTAACAGCCAAAGAAACTGAGGAAGATGGTTTGAAAAGTGTCTAAAGGAATGACTAAAGCAGAGAGAGACTGGAGGCGATGGAGCCGCAGGGCCAGACTGGAGGAGGGAATGAAGAGCAATGACTAAAAAAAAAAACAGAGACAGTGGAGAATAAAAGGAGGCAACTGAAAAGAGCAGGTTTAAAAAGACGAGCATAAAGAGATACCCGGTGGAAAGAGTGGAACTGAAAGAGTGAAAGGAGAGAGATCGGCATGAGCTCACACTCTGAGTGATTCATTTCCACAGAGACTCTCAAAGGCTACACGGAGACATGATGAGTAAAACCGTGAGCATGGAGGAAGTTTCTCCTCCTGCAGTTGATGCATGCCGACACGACCACCTCTCCACCTGTGCGTGTTTGTGCTGACTGTTTGTAGGCTCAATCATCTTCCTCTGAGTATCTTTAGTACTCACAGAGACAACAACATGCTCATCGGGAGAGCATGATATCGCGATTTTTTTTTTGCACCCTGAAATGCCCAAAAATAAAATGATCTTGCAGCATCTCGTCTTTAAAAAGCTGTAGAGCCGTTTACTGATCATATTGCTGTTAGAAGAGGACAATTTTACCTGAACGCAGATGAAGAACATAAAATGGCAGCCTTCTTTTATCTGTTTTTAAAGGATCAATATGTAACTGACTCCTAGCGTTTAAAATGGGTACTGCAGTCCAAATTCAAAACATATAGAGAGCTGTCTTGAACCAAAACACCAAGTCAAATTCCATGTATGTGTAAATGTATTTGGCAATAAGACACAATTCTGATTTGATTCTGGTTGTTGTGGACACTGAAGCTTCAGTGTTTATCCAGCTCTGCATCGGTCTGTAAACCTTTCTGCGTTCTAACCTCTCTTTTCAAAAGCATCTCCAATATTGATCCTAGTTTGAGCACGTTTCTGCTCGTGGAGCTTATTAGAAACATGCAGAGGCTTTTTAGGTCGGGTACAATCACTTCTATCTGAACCAGTTCTCTTGCCCGCTTCCATCGCTGCAACACCTGTTGACCTGATAACTGCTCTAATAACTGGCAAACTGAGGGACGTCCAAAACGGCCGTGTGGGGGGTGTCTTAAAACCGCCTAAATTCTCTGGTCCAAACAATTCCAGAGCATTCAGGAGCAGAATCTAAAGTTAGAAGGAGGACATACTGGCTGCTGAATTGTTGTCAGAGAAGCCAGCACTTCAACAGAGCATGTTTCCTTAATGTCTGATCAGATAGTAAGATCACT